ATTGTTAATGTTGTTGTTGGTGTTATTATTGGTATTATCGATGTTGCTGTTAAATTTTCTCTGATTTGACATTTTATATTTCTCTAATATTTTTGTAAATTGATCTTGTATTTGTAGATATTTTTCGGATAGTTTTATAGATGGTTTTTCATATTTCTCTGACAATTTTGCAGATGGTTTTATAGATATAGAATTATCACTGTTCGTTGTTGATATTGTTGTTGCTAGTACCTTCTTTTGTCGCCAATATTATTCGTCAGTTCTTTTTACCATTAATATTGTCATTTGTTGGTTTTTGATGAATCGTTCTTGCTATATGTCATATTATAAAATGGGCTTAAGATTAGAATTATAGTGTTAGTGTTAGTTATACAAGATTTAGTGTTAGTTAGTATTAGTTAGTATTAGTATTAATATTAGTTAATATTAGTATTAGTATTAGTATTAGTTATTCGATATTTAGTATTATTTAGTGTTAGAGTTAAATTAAATAGTAGTGCAAAATTATATAAATGTTGATATATTGAAATAAATATAATTAAAGTGAAATATATAAAAAAACATAACAGTTAGATATATTCTTTAGAATTAGGAATTAAGATTAGAGATTATAGAGTTTATATTAAACAAATATAAAAGGATTAAATAGAATCTCATATTTCATTTTAATCTAATTTTATTATAGTATAAAATCAGTTAATAGACAATTCTCCAGTCAACTGAACAAAAATTTTTTTTTTTATATATAAATTTTATTATAAGTGCAAATATAGAGCTGCTTTATCTAAAACTTTTTTTTTTTACTAAGTAAATCATTCTTGGTCTTGTAACAAAAGTTGTAAAGCTCATCAAGATGCATTTAATAGTAGTAAGAATATTAAAATTAGCTTGGTAGTTCTTGAGAAATCTTTAAAAAACTTCTTTTTTACATATAAAATTTTTTTAAAAAAAATCAATTTTTTTTAAAGAAATTTTATATTGAAAAAGAAGTTTTTTAAAGATTTCTCAAGAACTACCAAGCCGATTTTAATGTTCTTACTACTATTAGATGCATCTTGATGAGCTTTACAACTTTGTTACAAGACCAAGAATGATTTACTTAGTAAAAAAAAGGTTTTAGATAGAGCAGCTCTATATTTGCACTTATAATAAAATTATATATATAAAAAAAATTTTTGTTCAATTGACTGGAGAATTGCCTATTAATTTTATTAGGATTTAAGTACTAAAGAGATATAGTAAAGTAGTATAGTATAGAAACATAATTTAGAATGAATATAACAAATTCATAATAGTATATACAGTTTATAAAAGAAAAATTTGTTAAATTAAGTTGATTTTTCTACTAACTCAACTAGAAAAAAAACTATATTAGCACTTATTCTAACTCTAATCATAAAAAAGAGTTATATAAAGTATGACAGCTAGTGTAGAATCTATGGTATACAGTTATCTATATGCGGACTACTTAAATAGGCACTCAAAAGATATACGTGTAGCTAGTTATACTCTCTAATGTAATTGGGGTTCCGTTGTGAGCTTTTCGCCCATTATATTTGAATAAAAACCCCTATGCCAAAGAGGCTAGTTAGACCACAGCAATTTAATTTTCTGTTTAACATAACCCCCCTTTTTTTAAAATATTTATATAATATCAAAAAAAAACATATATATATAATAACCAATAGAAATTTAGTATTTTAATTAATGATATTTATTAACTAGCAGTAATAAGTGGCTAGAATTGATAAATTTTAGCAATACTATATTATTTAAATTTGTAATATTATTATTTAAACAAATATAATTCTTATATTCAATAATAGTGCAGCTTACATACAATCATAGTCATTACATATTTCCTGTCTCTATAACCTTTGTTGACCCAGAATTCTATTGTTAGTAAAATCTTAACAAAAAGAAAGATTTAATTAATATTAAGAACCCCTTTAATATAAAGACAATACATTAATAAAAATCATTGATTTCATTATTATCCGATATTCGATCCCAATCCAAAGTGAATCCCACACATGTGATAAATTAAAACTAATATAAATAATTTCAGTTTTAATTTATCGCAATTGATCACACCATGTGTGAGATTCACTTTGGATCGGGTACGTTTCCTCCTGTTTCCCCGTGACATAATTCAGAGACCCATGATTGCGTGACAATCGTGAACCAAAATTCATAATCGGAAGATCCGAAATCTTATGTTACTACTCCGATCCTGTGACAAGCGTTAAGAATCTTGAAACCCCGCTGCACTAAAACTAAGAAAAAACGAAATTTAGAATTGGTATTGAATTGAAGTATTGAGTATAACAAATCTAAGCAGAATAAAAGTAAATACTTATTCTAATCTTCAGTTCGCACCATAGCAAGACCAAATAATCTTGAAACCCAGATCAAGTCTTTCCACGCCTCTTTTTAGAGTCTTGAGAGATCGTTGGATAGATTTTATTGCGTAAATTGTTTGATTGTTTAATTTTAGTCTCTACCTGATAGTCATCCCTTCTCAAAAACCTCAAACACTTCATATAGAATAAAGATCAACTAACGCATTAAAGATAGGCAAATTCAGTATTAGCTGATTTTAAATCTCAAAAGCATGCATACAATGGTTGCTATTAAGTAATATTATTTTTGCATATGATTTCTATGCAAAGAATTTGAGAATTCTAGACCCTTCACTTTCTTGAAATCAATAATTTAAGAAAATATTATCTCTATATAGAGAGATTGAGGTTTTTAAATGCTCTGCACTATATATACTTTAAGGAATACATTTTTAATCACATGTCAATTTTTGCCCTGGCGATGCTGTGGATGATTTTATGGCTAGAACTGAAAGAACGTTAGTAAAGATTTCATTATGTTGTATTTCGTATGAATTAAATATAAGAAATAGGTGTACATAATCATATACTACCTTTTAAAAAGATCTAGCCACCTTTACTATAATTAGAAAATAGCTTCCAATAACGTGAAGCTCAATTTAACTTTAATATTAGCGATACCATATATTTATTCTAGTTTCAAGTAGTTTTAATACAAATTTTGCAAATCATGGGTTCAAGCGATCAATCAAAATTGCTAATATGTATGACGGTGCAGAAATTTAAAAACCCTGCATAGAAATAATATACCAAGAATAATGTGTATAGCGTACTCAATAGCAACTATTCTGCATACTGCTGAAGCTTAAAAACAAGCCTCTGCTGATAATAATTGATAATATATTAGAGTGGGCTATTTTTTATTTGATATAAGGGTTTTAAATTTCTAGCAACATATGTACGTACAGTACGTAATATAATTGAAAAAAAATGCATTATAATTGTATCGTTGCTCTAAAAATATGCATAAATTCCAAATTATATAAAATTTCACTTCTTCAGCAATGTATATATATGAACAATGTCTCTACAATCGTTGAAGGTTAAAAGCCTATCCTGATAATTGATAACCAGAAAATTCTGGATAGTTATATTGAATTTTTACAAAACCCGACTATACTTTCTATTATATACTCAAAATAAATAAAAAGCCTCTAATAATCAAAAAAAAAAAGTGAAACATGTGAGTGAAAGTGTAATTAACATGCAACAGGAAAATTGCAATGCAGCAAGAACAATTACAATATATGAGATAAAGTATAGGAATAAAAGTGTGTGAACGAAAGTAACATCAATCATGCAACATGAGTAATAGTATATGAGAGCAAAAGTGATATCAACATGCAGCAAGAACAATTACAATATACAAGATAAAGTATATGAATGAAAGTGGTAACGATGTGTAAGCAAAAGTAGAGCATCAATCATGTAACAGGAAAAATTGCGATGCAGCAAGAACAATTACGATATATGAAAGTGGTAGCGATATGTGAACGAAAGTAGCATCAATTCATGCAGCATAAGTATAGAGAGACCTCTCTAAATGCTCCACCTCTCTAAATATACTCACAATTTCTGGCCCAAGTATATACTTGACTCCTGTAAATGCACTTTTTCTTATTGTTCATTAAATGCACATTGTTGAAGCTTGGTCATTATGGGTTCATTTAGAAAGGTATCTTTGTAATGGTATATATAAGCGAAAATGGCATTAATCATACAAGGTGAACAAAAATGATATATACGTGTATGCATACATATATAGCCATAATATATAAAATAGAAGAACTGTCAGTATTGAAAAAAAATAAATAATAAATAAAAAACAAAATAAAAGTTTAAAGATACTTTTTGTTGCCCCATTAATCAATTTTCTCAACAATGCTCTATCTCCTGGTTCAGGTTAATGAAGGTGTTAAATGTATTATCTCTGAGCGTATAATGAGTATAGAGTCGACATGTAAATTTTTTGAACTTTTTGATTTAACTATGTTAGGACAATATGATGATAAAGAGGTGAAAGTTTTTATTTGACGAAAAAAGTCCGAAGGTTGGTGAGAAGTAGACAATGAGTTAGATGGTGATTTGAGAATGCTTGAAGTTTTAGATTTTATGCAAGTCAAGTTTTGTCTTGTTTCTAATACAAATTTAGATACTTCAGTTTCAACTCAAGACAAACCAGATGCTTTCAGCATTTTAATGGCAAATTCAAGACAGCCTTTGCTTTCTTGTCATTGTAATAAGCGTAATAACTATGACCGACTTTATAATGAAATTATTGAACTTTTCAAAGTTCAACAGGTTGGATAGACAGGTGGTTTACATGAAACAATAGGAAAAGCATACGTAAATCGTCTTGCAACTGCTTTTTGGTATATTGATCCACATCTTTCAACACTAAGTACACGCTCATATCATTTACCAGCTCTTTTTGCACGGTTGAAAATGCATCAGAATGGTAAATCATATGATGAGTATTATTATACTAGTCATCATAAAAAGAATCCATTGTCTCAACAAAAACTTGCGCATCTTTCGAGTTCTCTTGAGATTTCTATAAGTCAACCATAGCCGAGTAGCGATAGGTGGAATCAAATAATGCCTGCAGTTCTTTCGTTAATTGAAATTCTGAAAGACTATTTAATTGCAACCACTGCTAGTATGAATGAACTTCATCATAGTAATGAAAGTGCCTGTAGTCCTGGAAATAATAGTACTATATACCGAGTTAGTGCTTGTGAACCTCATCAACTTAAAGACGAATATGTTCAATTGGATGATCTATTATCTGAAAAATCATTTTACGAACATATAGAAATTCAACAATATCTTCCAGACGATGCTATAAGCCGATACAAATTTATGAAAGAGTTGCAGCTTACATTTTCCATTGGTATATATAGGTTAGTATTTTGATAGTGTAGTTTCATGTTCGATTTTTTAGAATTAAAATCTTTATCTAATAAGATTTTATATGATTTATATGAAAAATAAAAACTTATTCTGACTTTTTAGATATTATCAGGGCAATTATTTGGAAACAATTAACTACATATGGAGAGAAAATGAAATATCAAATAACGAGCAAGATGAAACACCAAAAGCATGTATATTAACTAAAATCCATGAAGAGTTACCTCATTATTTTACATGGCAAATGAGAAAAAATGTGCTTAATAAGGTATGATAACAATTAGGGTTCTGCAAACCCGGCACATGCCAGTACAAAAAAAAAATGTATAAAGCATGGGCATAACTTGATTTTAAAATTTGGAGCGCAGGCACAATATAAGTAGGCACTTATTAGCACCAATATTAGTACCCAACATAGTACCAATGATACCGGGCATAAAATTTAATAACGATTGGTCATATATACAACAAATGATATTTAGTTATATAACTCTTTTTTTTATTACAATTTACTATAACTTCATATCCATGGGTAGTGATTTATATCGTTATTAGATAAATGAACCTAGTTGTGAAGTGAAAAAAATTATATAATACATAGTATAGACTAGCATATATGAAAAAACATTGTGGCACCAGTATTAGCACTGGCAAAATTCAAGGCACAATAAAAATAATTACAGGCACTTGGGCACTAGTATTATGCCCGACACAGTGTCAACAGTGCCTGGCATAACGCCAATTGTACTCAGCTCGATTATTTGCAGAATCCTAATAACAATACAATTAATATTTAAATATTATCATATTTATAATATAATCTTTTTTCTTTATATAGTATTCTTATATTCAGAAAGTTACACCAGCAGTATTATGGATGCTTCATTTTGATCTTACTGGAAATGCAGCTATAACTTCGGATGCAGTCAGTCGTGAGGTGGAAGAGAGATTACGATTAATGTTTTTTTTTTTTTTTTTGGTGTTCAGGTAGGATCTTGCCCATGACTTTATTTATTGTTAATACTTTCATTACATATATTAC